TTAAAACTTCTTTAATTGATTTGGTGATCAAAAGTCTTATTTTTTGGTGATCATTTCACTGCTAATAAATTTGGTGATCAAAAGCCACTTTTTTGGTGATCAAAACACATTTATTCCATGTTTAAATCAATATATCTAAACAAAATTTGGCTGCATTTGGCTAGATTTAGTATTTTCTCATCTCATTTCAACTGAAAAAGGGTTAAGTCTCTATATCGCATTAATTCGAAAGATGCAGAATATGATAGAAATTTATATTTGTGTAATTACTTATTTTTCACTGTCGAGTTGTATTAAAAAATATATTATCTTCAATTAATAAATAGAGTTTTCTCTTTTAGCGTATCTTTATCTTTTTCTTGATGTCACATGCAGATATCTGTATGTCAGACATGAGGATACATACAGTAAGGAAAGGATGATCTGCATGCAACATAAAAAAAAAGATAAAGATACCCTAAAAGAGAAAAATCTAATTATATTTTTCCAAAGACACATAGTTGAAATGAGATTAGGAAATACTAAATCTAGCCAAATGCAGCCAAATCTTGTTTAGATATATTGATTTAAACATTGTGTATTAAACAGTATTATGACATTTTCTGTATGAGGGACTGTAAGGTTGAACATTTCATGTATTCTTTATCATCAGAAGGGAAAAGATCTCAACATACCAACATTAAAGTAGTCATTCACTGACAGGGTGCTTTCATTTTATAGTATATTTGAAGTGACGCAAATCTGATGATTTCTGACCAAGTCCTTTGATTAATTCATCTGTTTGATTTGAGCGAATTTAACATAATTAAATAAACAAGCAACAGACTAGAACTCGTCTATAGGGACCGAAACAGGGCATGAACTTTGAGAGAGATGTAAGAAAAAAACATTTTCGCTGCGCGACCAAAAAAACAAAAAAAGTTTTTAGATCCGCTGGGAGAAAACAAAAAACTTTTATTTTCTTGTACCCCCCAAAATTCCGACTGTGGCTGATGGGTGGCTAGGTGTCTTGCTCGCAGCTAGTTCATTGTGGGTTTCTGATGTATTAGTGATGTCTGTCAAATGCAACTAAGCTATTTTTTTCAAAAAAAACAAAGCAGCTTAGAGGTATTTATTTGAAGACATTAAGGTGACTAACAGTAAAAAGATGAGAAAATGCAGCTGACGTGCCTTCAGAACGCACTGTGGATGCATTTTGAAGCCAGTCGAGTGGTTTATCAAGACACTTTTTTTTGACAGTGTAGTCAACCTGTTATTTAGATTAAAATGTAAAACAACCACACAGATCAAACATACTGTTACTTTTAATAATGGAACTCATGAATGTAACAAAGAACATCGCTACACATATAAAAAATGGAATGATAATTATCAAGACTATATTAGACGACCAATATTAAAAAAATGTATGATCAAAACACCGTATTCGAAGAAGGCCCACAAGTTTAATGCGTCTGAAACTCGAGAGAAACCAATGATACTAGAAACATTTAGTACAAATGTCAAATCTAAATTACCCCCAATTATACACTATGCAATAGATCGACAAAGTAAGTTCAAATACAAATCTACCGTAATATGACAAACAATATTGAAATAAAATATGATAAGCAAGTGTAGAAGTTTGTATGCGTTTCAGGAAATAACGTAGCTATCAGAGCTCCGTATGGACTCAAATTTTTTAGTCCAGTCCAGTCCATGGACTAAAAAAGTCTAGTTCAGTCCAGTCCGAGTCCATGAAATCCAAAAAATCTGAGTCCAGTCCATATGGACTGGACTGGACTGGACTATGGACTCAGTCCAGTCCATACGGAGCTTTGGTAGCTATACAGCACATAAGTAGGTTTGGATTCATTCGAGAATTTTCTTACACCGAAGAAAGAATTGATCATATTAAAGGATGATAATACCTATACTATATGTACTTTCAAAGATCTCACTGGATTGTAGTGAATAATGTGAAGAATATGTTTATCTGTTTTTACAAAAAAGTATCCTGCTCTTTGTATGAGAGCACGATTTTATCAACACTTCGAAATGTTTATAACATCGATGCTTATGTTTTCATTACAGTCCTACCGAGACTCTTAGTTGTTTAGAATCCTGTCAGAATGCTACATTACCCCTGATTTTATTAGGGTTCTAAACAAACATCAACGAAATCCTAGTAGGATTTTGGTAGGATATGTTTAGGATATTGTATCATCTTTTTTTATCACATTCGAAAACAAAGAATAGTGTCATTTAAGTCAAGGATACATGTTATATTATGTAGTTTTCAATTGATAACGACCTAGAACATCGTATGTTTTCAGCGGAAGATATTCAGTTTTATTGAACCAAACAAGAGAATGCTTCAATAGTAGTTAAAAAAAAACGGTACTCTCTCGTACTGAATCTGAAAATGATCAAACCCTTAAATACAGCTCATCAACAATTCTGTTTTACTTCTTTTAGAATCTCCATTATGTAGCATTCGATACGTTTCTAAACTACCATCTAGCATTGTCACATCAGATAGAAATCAAACTAATCATCGTGTTTGTGACATAGTAGAAAATGTAAGTACTGAAATAAAACATGCTATTATTCGCCGACCACCGAGACGATATCAAATTATATCAACAAATTATATTATACATGACACAATACAAGTGATTTAACATAACTGAATTTTCGTCTCAATCATACTTGATTGGCAGCTTATATATGGCCCTCAAAAGGTTGTTGATCGGTTTTTTTTCTTCACTATTTTATAATAAAATATCAGAAAAATACAAACGAATAAATGTGCTCAAATCAGCTGTTATAAAGAAACTCCATTATTTTTACATATATTCATCTTCTTCATTAATAAGTTCACAAACATCGTATGATACGTGGTACGTTAGACCCATTTTTTGCGATGCGATAAACGCATAACCATGCGTATCGAATTATCTGAACAAAATGTTTCATTACTACATGATAAAAAACGTGTATTCTGACATGCAATTTACATTCTGTTATCTGTATTTTATCTAATTAATCGAAAAAAATTCCAAAAAATTTCTTCTGTTTATACTCATTTTACTTGCTAACATTATTATTATTGATAAATAGAGTTTAAACTAAGTTAAATTTTATCGATCACCATCTATATATTTGGGACTTTCTTACTGCTTAAAACACTGTAAAAACGACAATTACAAACTCCTGAAACTTATAGTCGAAACCAATGGTTAAGAACGAAATTACAGAGATGCCAATGCAAAACTCACCAAAAGCTAAGTATTTCTCAGTTTTGATCATGAACTCAAATCTCGATTTTCTCGCAACTTAATCGAAAATTGAACACGATTTTAAAATATACTGAGAGAGAGCACATTTTTGCGCATATTTCACATTTGTTTTTAAATTTTAGAACCATTTTTTCAAGTCGAGAATAGATGAAAAATAATACAAGATGACCACCATTCAATAAAACTCGTTTTTCTCCATAAAGAGTCAATTTTCCCGACCTTTAAATGTGCTAGTAGTTCAACAGTCCAATTCATAACGTTCATAGGCTATCGAATACCGTGACTCTCGTTGATACGATCATCTGTCAAGAGCCAGATCCATTGGCAACAACACTAAATCCCTCTGATATGTCCTACATCGACAAAATTAAAATGGAACAACTTTGCAATTACAGTCTCGACAGATCTTATGTATGTGACTAACAGAGATCATTACTTCCACGTTTAAAAGTCGGCGATCTGTCATAAGCCATGTTTCGACAGAGAATAGGTTTAACGCCGTGAGTAACAAATTTATGTTGATCTTCGCTAATTTATCGAAACAAACTCGATTCAATTCATCAGCAAGAATATACATCGAGAATCGAAACAAGAGATCACTGACAAACATTCTATCGATATATGCTGTTCTACCAATTAGAAACGCATTATTAAGTTGAAAATTACATGTTGAACCTTAATGCAGTTCTTTTAAGTTATCTTTTTATCACATTCATATTGCTGATATGGTAGATGTTTACTGAATAATTAATCGTATAATCGGCGTCACCGAACACCACTAGAAAAAACTAACAATCACATCCACGTACCATTCGGGTTAAATAAGGTCTGCATGATATTAGAAAATCATTAACCTTTTAACGGCGTTTATATACAGGTTTCGTTCTCAAAAGGTTAACGAATCATTTTGGTAGTAGTCTACAACTTGTGAATTAACGTATTTCCACATGTAAATGTATGTATATTATTTTATCGAACAGAAAACTCTTAGCATTCCAGACATGAGAAAAAAATTTAATATTTACAATAATAAAGTTTGGAATTCTATACACGGGAAAAGGTGAAAATAACATAGTTTATCATGACTAATAGTCATGCACGAACAATTCCTTATTAATGGTAATAAAATATAATAAGACTAAAAATAACACTAATACCAGCAACTGCAAATGTATTTTTTCGTTTTGGTGCCGAATTACATAAATGTGAATTACAGCAAACACTTGCAGTTTGGAATATACCAGTGTCAACTTGAACGTTACAACGATTTTCGCCTATAAGAAGTATAATCAAAAAGATGTAAGAGTAACTGAGGTATATTTCTAATACTTACCACATCCTCTCTTGATACCTTTTAGTGGAACAGCTAGTTTCTATAAACAAAAACATTTAAAATGAATGTACCTGTCCGATTCAGATACGATCGAGAACGGACTTACCCAGCATCGTGCTTCAGTATTTGAACACGTTGTTATTTTTCCAGCTAAGTCTGGGCAATTAATACATAAATCGTGCTCATAACACTGTAATGCTAGAAATGAAAGGATTAAAGTGATAATTAAAATATGCAGCACAAATATTAATGATGAGTACCACCATCAATCAAATTTATAACGATTATTTGTTGCATCTTCTAATAAGATGAGTCAACAATTCGGCGAATGTTGAAAATGACAAGTATATTGAAACTTATTTTTAATCTTACCTTGGTTTATTACAATAAACGTTAACGCCAATAATAAAGTAAGTAAAAGTTTCATTGTAAAATAAATGATTAAGAAAATTGAATAATATGACAGTAAAATTTGAAAACAATTTGGTATCTGACAAGAGGTTCTGTAATAATCTGAAAAATAAGTGTGTACAGCTAGTATATTGTTTTATAAGTAATGAACAAAAAAAGGGAAAGAAAAGGACGAGAGAGACGTTTTCTTTTTCACTAGTCAAATTCGAAAGTGATCCGGTCTAATATTTCTTCTTCGTTCTAAAATCTTAAATGAATTATGCAGGTCATAGAGAGCACATGAAAATAGACATTCGTAATGTTTGTCTTTTTTAATGTTTTTTATATTTTTTTAATATTCACCAGATGAATAACCGATGAAAATCGTGCCGGTCACTATATCTGATTATTATCCTTGTCAAGTTTAGATACAATGTGTATGATTGAGCGTAACTATAACAGTTTAATGAATCATTTTCCTAAAACTCTTTTCTGAACAATATAAAAATGGTACATAAGTCATAATAACAGTCAGAATTTAGCAAATGTACACCGACAATGAAACTACACAAAAAGAAAAAAATGAACGTTCCTGATCAATAGAAGAAAAGGCAGGACGGCATTCTTTCCTTCGAAAAAAAAAATTGTGTTCTGCAGTACACTTTATGAACAAGAAATAGTGGTCGTCGTCCGTATTTTTGTAGTCTATGTTCTTTGTTCCAGCTCAATTCTAACTATCTGTGTAGAGAGCGAAAGAATTCACTCTCTATCTCTGAAGAGAATAAAAGTGGACGAACATATCAGCTGTTCAGAGTACAAAACATAGTATGAATGGAATGATTCATAAAGAAAAGAAATTATTCATAATACGGGAGTGTCATACGAAGAAGTTCACTCTTACCAAATATGGCAAGAGAAAACGCTAGAAAATGCTAACTTCTGTGACATTTCAAAGCTAAGAAAACGCATGTAGCCTAAAAGTTTCTTTGATAATCACTTGAATGTTTTGTAAAGCGACAAACTTACCCTTGATCTCAGTTTAAGGAAATAGATAAAGCAGTACATGTTATACTAAAAGAACTATTAAAACGTTAAAATACCCGATCGTGAAGATACTCGACGTATGGGTACAAGTCATTGTGCATCTAGTCTGTGGACGGGTATATCACAATTTTTACCAACAGTGAATAAAATTATTCAGTTTTCAAATGGACGTGAACCAAATGTAAATTTAGCTGACTCTTTTTTCGCTCTTACTGCTAGATAATCTCTTTTTAGTCCGGTGATCGTATCATCTACACAGCTGATGGGTACGACTTATTTTGATGTCGGACACGTAGATTTTCTTGAAAAGGTCAAAACACAGGTATTATCTAATTCTTGAATCATACACGGATCCAGTAAGTAGGATTGAATGAAAACAAATGAATTGGCCCCGCGCCGGGGGGGGGGGGGGGGGGGGGGGGGGGGGGGGGGGGGGGGGGGGGGGGGGGGGGGGGGGGGGGGGGGGGGGGGGGGG